AGACATTCTCTTCAAGAAGCAGAAGTAGTGGGATTCTAAGATGCTGCTTCCAACACCTTCGCCTGATTACAGCTTTAGCTGAGGCATTCTCTTATGTGAGAATGAGTGAAGGTGGGGGGTCTTTCCCCGAAGCAGCGCCTGCCTCCATAATACACGTGTATTAGGATTTTCATTTGTATTCAGGTGCATCGCACAGAGCACCATCACACGCTGCGCCACAATCCCCCAACGTTTCATGAGATTTTAACGTGAGATCGTGGAGTTCTCCTGTAATCTCACACAAGATGACCTCGATTTGGTGAAAGTTTGCAAGGTGTGGGTGTTCTTATGCAAGATCTTGGGAGCTCTTGACCATGTTGGTTATTACTGTATATGCTAGCAGATAAGCCCATCCACAGATAGTCCAACTCATGAAATGGCAACTAAAATACCAGGAAAAATGTGCCACCCGTGGATAAGCCAACCCACTTTTCCTTTCCAGCATGCCTTCTTCCATTTTGGCATATCTTCCAAACTAGCATTCCTTTTCTTCCATTCACAAACTGGTCTTTCATTTACTTCCAGTTCTCTGGCAGCCACAGAATTGTTCTTCTCCTCTGCTCTACTCATAACGTTTAGCTTGTAAGCTGCATCATATGCTAACCATTGGCCATTTCCAGACATGGCACTTACCTACCTACTGGAAATGTGTGCAGCAAAAGGTGGCAAATGTCAAACTTTTATGTCATCCTTTATAGACTGTGATTTTTTAAAAAAACCTGGGCTCTGGTCTGCGGATAAACCAAAGCCGATTTTTGGAGTGTGTTTTGGAGCCAAAACTTCTCGGCTTATACGCAAGTATATACGGTATTACCAAAGGTCCCAAAAACGCTTCTTGAGATTTAGTAGGTGTTGTGATGCCCAGAGACTCTGACATAATAATATAGATTGATGTATGCAAGAACATGCAAAGGGTCATTCACTGTTTCTGTGGCTTGCTGCTTTTCTCTTCTTCAGTGGGAGATATGATCCGTGCCCGAGGCCGCAATGACAACATCCTGAGTTGCTATTCCTGTACAGCTGCTGATAAGACTTGTAACAACTCCAGTCTCACACAGATGCGCTGCTTCTGGCCCAAGGAAAGGTGTGTGGACATCACTTCCTTGACTGATCCAGAAGGTGGGTCTTCGGCTTCTTCCTCTGATTCACAATTTCTTATCCCCCCCCCCATAAAAACAAAGCCCAAAGTCATCCAGGGTAAAACGGAAGCTCCAAGCCCAGCCCGGTCCTCGTTCCAGGCAGGGAATCATTTATTTAAGCTTCATCTCAAACTTTTCACTGCCCCCTTCTGAACTGAACATCAGAGTCAGTAGCCCAGCAGGGCAAGCAGTAAAGGAGTTGAACCTGGATGCAATACCAGCAAACTCTTTCTGCGGATACTCAGGGGCATTGGGGAGGGCAGGAGGATCCAAAAAGTCAAGATGGTGGCTGTGACTATGGGATTGTGGCCTTTTTAATGTGCATCATGACACATGTAAAAGAGGGGGAGTTCAGTCATGCTGTCCCAGCCCCCATTTTAACTTTTTTGATCCCCCACTCCCCCCTAGAAGCCTTTAAAGACTACCCACGTTTCTCAACCTTGGCAACTTTAAGATGTGTGGACTTCAACTCCCAGAATTCCCCAGCC